TGTGTTTTCTCTTCACTCATCTACACCCATATCAGTAATTTCTCTCACCTGGATCAAAGTACTACTAAGTTACAAAAATAGTGGAATATTTCAATCGGATGAATGCGCTACCAACTGTTTGCTGTAAGAATATAGAGGTATTGACATTTCACCGGACACACTATGAACTGTATCGAGTAATTCGATCTGTAAGATATTTGAAAGGAACTTTACGATACTTCAAGGTACTTTAAAATACTTTTAGGTACTTTAACATACTCTATCCTGCTTTAACCCATTGGCGGCAATATGAATACTGTTTTCTCATAATTCGTGAACGGTTACATTTCTTTATTTGTCGTAAATGTACTACTTCAACACAATTTTTATCCATGTTTTTCTTATCAATATGAACTATGAACATTCCTCTATCAACGATAAAAACAATCAGCTTCTTTGGTCAAAGAATATGACAGATATTCAATTTTTTCTATGATAAACGAGCTTTTGGACCATCCTATAGTGAGTTCTACCGATGGGACCCATCACCGCGAAAGGAGTAAGATACTTTAAAGTAAAAGAGTATCATGCTTCACCCTTTTATATTCATGACCTATTTTGCCATATTTATGCTCATTTGTATCATATGTATAGTCATTTTTTGCCATATTCGTATCCTTTTTTGACATAGGTTTCATCAGGTAACTTTGTTACAGACAGACAGACACAAGTGAATTTCCATTCCTAGACCCTATCCTTTCCGTGTAAGGAACATCATAGTTTTACTGCATTGCACTTGTAGGATTCAGCAAACGGTATACCAAACAAACGAGAAGGGTTCAATGGCGTTTCGATGAAACGAATCACAAAAGTATCACCTATCCAGAATCATTCTTCTATTCAATCAACCAATGATGTAAGTTATCTTTGTTGCGTTAAGATATGCGCGATGAAGCTGATATTAAGATGATTAAGCAGATTTTGATAGAGCGCAGTCGCTCTTGACGGACTGTCTAGTAATATGTTTTCCACGAAATGTTGATGTGATTCCATATCACATACATAATGAAGAATGAAGCTCATTGAAAACCTTGAAGTGCAATTCCTACGGAATTGAGATTGAAAACATAATCACACAAAACATGATTAATAGGGAAATTTCTCGTCACATGAATCATTATGGTCTAATAGATTATAACTAAAATTGATTGACCAAACAATTTCTGTTTGCAGAAACGCGGACTAAAAATGTTCTACTTGCCTCACTTTGCACTGAAAAGTTCAGTTCTCATCTGTTTTTCTAAGCAAAGAAGTTGAACAACGCTAATAATTCATGATAGATTCAGATATATACCACATCTGAACGGTTGGATTGGGTCTTAGTTGAGCTGATTTTCACTGAATTTCTTAAAGGAAGCAGAAGTAACCCTAAAAAGATTTCAGACTTAGTTATGGTAGATCGGCACATTTTGAAATGACTGATTCGCTGCTTGAAGGCTTGAAAACACCCTTAAAAAGTCACCAATTTACAGAAATACTCAAATCTGATACAGAACATAGAATAATCTTAGGGTGCGTCCACAATTGCCCATATGTCCCAAGAAAGGTGTGCACAATGAACCAAATGCTAAGCATATGCTGAAGTTGGAAGTAAGGATTCGATGAATTGGATTCGTATCACAGCTTAAGATTTGTCCCAACATTCTGACTCGATATTATAGTTCGAATTCGTGATTAACAGGGCCGAGCAGTATGTCAATAGTTCTCTAACAAATGCTCTTCTAGTGTAAACGAAATTATTACAACTGATCGCTCCTATTCTATCGTGTAGTTCATTAGAAAGTACAAAATCCCGAATGCTACTCATGGAGAATTGCACACTACGAGGATATGGTGTAGGTGTTGGATATGAGCGCATGAATATTTTCTTGACTGACATGGACACGCACATTTTACCAACACACACAGACAGTACACAGTCTGCCGTAATTTCGAAAAGTTTTCACCCACAGCGATTTTGTTCCTTCAACTGTCTGCTGAACCATTCCTGCAAATCACAATATCCTCCAGGATGTAAGCAAAGATCCTTATTTGTTGCAGCTCTATGTAGAAGGATGTGAATCCATTAAGCGGGTCCCTCTATAGATCGAAAAGGATGAATGCCTGATCGAAATGTTTTTTTTTATTATGAAATTACGTTTTGCATGTATAAGTGAAACAGATGGAAAATGTCCATAAACGTAATAAGAGTGATGAGAACGAAATGAAAAATTCAGGTGACACGAAGCATATAGAAGGGAACTCGTATGTGATAATGCGGAGACTAGGAAGGTAAAAATCCATGTGAGAGAAAAGAAAAGGAAAAGTGAACGTATTGTGAAAGAAAGATACACTGGGATCGAAATATCGTGGGGGTAGATCTTGATGATTCTGTGACAGTCTGCTCATACCCACACCCTATTGTGATTTTTATGTTTATGCTTTTAGAAATAAAATATACATTTGGTGATTTTTCCTAAATCTTTGTGTATTTATTCTCTGTCAAAATAAAATATGTGAATTTATCTTGTCTTGAGTACAAACAATCCGTGCGCGACTTTCCGCGCGCAAAGTTCACAGTGGATAGCATTCCCAGATCCAGAAAGTACACCTAAACTGAGACAGCAACTGCAGGTAGATAGAATGAAATTCTTGCATACAGGCTTGTGACTGGTTCATTTCAAAACTCTTGATAACTTTATAAGATTTATCAATCTAATTGTAATGAAGCTATCTCACCAATGAAATTATAGCTGGTATTAATATTCTTCATGAAACCATGGCATCTTCTCCACTAGTATGTGTCTTGTAAGATGATAGAGAGATATAATTCATTGAATATAATTTTTTTAAAGTTTTTCATCGTTTGCCTTATTCTCTATTATCATCTTTCTGCCCTAAAGGATGTCGTTGGATATGGGGCATCGATGTATTTGAGAGATGTGAGTGCGAATGAAGAGTGGACACTAGCGGTTAAACTGCACCGACAGTCAGAACCACAACGACACTGTCGTCGGTCAAAATCCACACGCCCTAATGTGAAGAATCGCGCCATTCAACGAAATAAAAAAAAGCAAACAGTGTTTTTTCAATCTTGCATATCTGCGGCTAAGAATTTTGAGGATTAGGAGCAAAGTCTTAAAGAATTCTCTTTGTAGTATTCAGCTAATCGTCCACTCACTATTCAACGAAATTATAGTGGAGTGGGCATCAAACGACTACGTATGGAAGCCACCAGCCACTACCGTTCTTTGAGTCAACCAACGACGGTAGAGTATTTCGAAATTCCATTTATTGCCTTATTTTTAATTGAAATGTGTGTACTTTTAGACTTTCAAAGAAGATCAATCACCGACTAGATCGTCAATAAAGGGCATACACGTTGAGCGAATTCAAAATGTACACAAGAGTTGTGATAGCGTTTTCGCACGGCCAGTGTCGAGTGATGTAAAGCAAGAAACTCGCCGGAAATGAAAATAAAAGATGATTGTTATTTAGAACCCAACTGAAAGAGAATTGGATAACACACGCTTCAACAAAGGTGTTCGTATAGGATCGGCGTATCGTACAATCAATAATATTGGCCTACCTTGCGGGTCTTCGCCTAGGAACAGTTTCAATCAAACTACCTCTCCAATAATATCTCGTGTATGTTTTCTTTTGTCTCAGGAACGCAAAGAATTTCCTGAAAGCGGCTCACTGAACCAATACTCAGAAAATTTATTTCCAAAACTAATTAGTCAATAAAAAGCACTTGTTTCCATGTGCACTGTACAGTTTCTATTTGATAGAATCATTTAAGCTCACAAATTTTCATTCTCTTTGGATACAAGTCTGAAATTCTATGAATTTTTTCTGGAATTATTTTGTAACCAAAGAAGTGCTATTGAGACATATCGTTTACATCAGTAGAAAGTTCTGAATCGGTCCGTTATTGTGCAGCCGTCAGTTGTATGTTGATTATCCATAGGAATCTTTATGACCAAAACTTACATCTCAGAAAACGACTCAAATTTTCTCAAAATCCGCCTAGCTCGATGATGCAGGGCTGCTTATCTTTGAGTTCGAGGGCTCTCATTCTATAGTGTGTTTGATTAGAAGAATATTCGAAAACCTCTTTAGCCCTTGAATACGTTCTGTGACAATAGTAAACTAATAAAAACACTGGCAGATTCCATAGTTATTCCAGAAATTACGCATTAGAAACATAATGATTTCCCTTTATTGATGAATATGTGCGAAAATTCCATTCAATAGACTATTTTTAAGCTGATGCAGTTCAGTCAGTTGTTGAATGATTTATTCAGAATTCTCTAGTCGAAAAAAAAGTTTTGGAACTGACTAAGTCAGTGAAAACCAGAAAAATGATGTATGCCAATAGGTTCAGCTTGGTAGTGAGAGATCTCTAACTCAACGTATGGATACCGTCTCGAGTTTTAAAATCGTTTCTTCATCTTGAAAGTATTGAACATTTTGAGAATTTCGCTCCTCTGATATCAGTGCACTATGAAGTAATCATTTTAATACTGTAACACCTGATCGTATTTTCTCACAACAGATATAGCTGTCTGAATGCTTTCCAAGGGGATATCATGGAATCGATGTGAGTCTAGTGGAGGTGTGGGCATGGGCGACTTTGGATGATTTCTTTCATTGCATCCATGCCCATATCTTTGTTTCTTGTCACAGTTAAATATCTTAGGATCGAGAGGAATTCCTAGAAGTGCTCTCAAATGGTATGCATACATCCTTTACAGGCAATGGAAAGTCCATATGGTGTTGATTCGCAGTTTACTAATGACTTCTTAATTCGTCGATCACAAATAGCGCCCGAAGACAACTATATAGCTTATGTTAACGTCGTAAACGATGCAATGACAGAAATTAAGTAATTAGGAAGCTGAAAAATAACAGCTATTCAACGGATACCAATCTATCATTTCCATCTTTTTACATTTAGCCGAAAGAAACACAGAGGATATATGGCATGCCTTCCTGGCTGTTTACTATGCACATTTACTTTATGTCTCGGTCTCGTAGCAGCTGCCATTGCTGTGGCTCTTGCATTGACCTTAAGTAAGTACTTTACTTGTTATTTTATTTCAACAATTAGCTTTGAGAACACAAGAGAATAGTCAATGCTTACAAATAAGACTATTTTTTTGAGGTAAATTATCCCCATGATTTTTTTTTGTAGCAGGTTGAAATGAAGCAATAGATCTCGCAAGAAGAATAAGCTCAACGGAGACATATTGTTTCTGTTCTCGCAAAAGTTGCTTCTACAATTTGTAAATTCCTTAGTCAATAATTTAATAAACAAAGGCAGAACGTACCATCTGCATTTGTTCACTTAAAGATTTCAAGAACTACTATTGGTTTCATATTGGTATTATTCGAACAAAACACTTCAGATGATTCTTTCTAATATCTTTTATTAATAGGATATGAAACTGTTTATTTTTTGACTAATTCATGATATAGCAAATCTCTGAACGGTACCTAAGAAGTTTTCGAAAGCCAGGCATTGTTTTTTCAACATCCACAGATTGACCACTCGAGTTCACATGACCATTCTTGTTGTTTCTTTTCTGATTGACTTCAATTTCCGAAAATAGATGCAAGCACATCGGTAACAAAAACGACGACAACGTTCGCAAGCAGGAGTAAAATGACTTGCCTATGTAACTTGACATATCGCCAACCAAGTGTTTGAAATTTTTAGAGTTCGACAGATCTGAATGCATTGTTAGATGCAATTTTAAACTTTGTTTACGAATTAAACTTTGTTTTCCTTTAAAAACATTGTATTTTAGCATAAAAAAACGTATTTTGCATCACTAATCAAGAGATTGTTCAAAAAAGCTTGTTTCTACAGCATCCGTGGGGATGAATGTAGTACTGACATATATTCTTTAGCCTCACTAAATTAATACAAAATGAGTAAAGTCAGAAATCTCTCATAGGATATAGTTTTTATCCAAGACAATGGGTAAACGAAGGAAAAATCTCTTTTATTTAATTCTAATCTTCGAACAGAAATTTTTATCCTTTTTTTACAGACGTTCTACTTTGTTTGATGTTTTTGCTACTCGCTTGTTATTTTTCTGTATGTGACTTTCACAAAATTGTGATTGATAGACCATTCGTTGCATAATTCAATTTTTTCTCAAAATGGCCTATTTATTTTTGATTTTCGCCGCTAAAGATAACTTGCACATTCTTGGAAAGATTCTAACTTATTATGCAGCTAATGAATTCTAGTTTTGATTTAGTAACGTGGTTTTTTCGTAGAACGACTATATGCACAGGAAAGAAACATCTTTATATATTGGGTTGCAACATAAGTTTTGCAGATTTTGTTGTTAATGAACAAATTTATTTTACGACAAAGATATGCAACATCAATCAACAATACAATTGCCATTATTTTCAAAACTTGGGCCCATCTTGCTAGCAATTGTTCAATCAGACACTTGCAGAAACTAGTCAGTTATGATTCGAAAAAGACAGTGAAATTTTGTTGGTTTACAGAAAAACCTGCAGAACTTATGTTACAACCCAATAAATAAGATGTTTCTGAGCACGTTCCATGTCTCGAAATTTATCGATCAAAAAAAGTATAACAGCATTACAATAGGTTTGTTACATTTTTTTATCTGAACAAAAATAGTTTAGGGAAATCTTTCTTATTAATTAAAAGCTTGTTCGATGCTCTAAAAAACTGACTCTAGATGCGTTTCATTTGGAGAATTTCTTCTATAAGAAATTAAAGTTTTATCAGCGGTACTGGAGAAAATTTTTCCTTTTATGAAACAGCGTTATGTGACGATTAAATTTTCCCAGAAGTTTATACCTCATCAAAATTTGCCATTCTTTTATCATGTATAGAGAATGAGAATCTGTGACGAATGGCTTTTAAACAAACGCTTTAGCTCTCAAATCCTTCTTGATGATTGTTAAAAAAATTATAAAGAATGGAACAGCGTTACGCTTGAACAAGCCGAAAAATGACCACCAAAGTATTGCACCATCTAACACATCTAAGCAATTCAAACATTTAGGTAGCGATGAAGAACTTTATTTTTCAGTTGTGCTAATGAAAAGTTCACTTTTTTGACAGAATAGAGGAAAAATCATTACGTTTCACATGAATATGACCGCACGAGTACATTATCAAATACCTGAAGAGATAAAGAAGACAACAGGACAAAGAATGAGTTTAAAAAACTAATCAGAACAATTTGTGTTTTGAGTGAAGAAATCATTCGCCTGTGCTTTCCTGATAAATAATTGAATGTTTTTCATCAGGGCAAAAACATTCTAATACAAGCGCATCAAAATCTTTCTCTATAATGAAGATGCGTCAACTAGTTTAGAGACGACACTAAATAAGAAAGCTCATCCTTATGACTGATATTAGAGTTTTTGCGCATCGTACCTGTCGAACAGTTCAAATCTCAGGGAGACTATCGTTTTATCCACTCATCAATGGCCTGAGATACTACTAAGAATCATTTTCTTCTGTGTTTAAGGTGGTAAAATCACGACAACAGCAACAACGATAACAACAACAACAGCAACTACAACAACAGCAACAACAACGACGACAACAACAACAACGACGACGACGACCACAACGACAACAACACTAACAACAACAACAACGACGACAACAGAAACGACAACAACAACAACAACGACGACCACTACAACAACCACAACGGAGACGACAACAACAACAACGATAACGACGACCACAACGACAACAACAGAAACGACAACAACAACAACAACGACGACCACTACAACAACCACAACGGAGACGACAACAACAACAACGACGACGACCACTACAACAACCACAACGGAGACGACAACAACAACGACGACGACAACGACAACAACAACGACGACGACAACGACAACAACAACAACGACCACAACGACCACAACGACAACAACAACAACGACAACAACAACAACGACAACAACAACGACGACAACAACAACCACTACCGGTAAGTGATAGGCTGAATAGTTAAATACGACTCCCTACATCGATTTAAGGCAAATTTTGAATATTTAAAATTTTTGAACTTCGTATGTAGCAAGATCTTCTAAGTTGGAAAAAGTTGCACTTCAAATGTCTCAAACAATGAAGAAATGCCATGTCATGAAACGAAGCTTCTGTGATCATACTCAACTGAGACAAATGGAGAGGTTGCAATTTTTCGATTTTTCTCTCATTTTCAAAGCTTTTTAGTTTTTAAAGTTCAAGCAGCTATCTTCCATGGACGAGCACTAGTTTTCCATTAGAATATTGCGTAGATCTTGGACTAATGACACAGAAAGACTTTTAATAAGTAAATCAATTTTCTTTTGAAAAAAAATTGATAAACAACGTTGACGAATTTATGCAGCTATCACAAGACTTTATGAAACACTTGCTTCTGTAGATAAACCTTCAACTAGTGTCTAAAAGATCACAGCGATCTTACTGTAAAATTAGAAAGGCTTAAACAAAATTCTGAAGATTCAGTTTGATCGAACGGTTCGTAGAATCGAGTAGTAAACTGAATAAAATATTCTCAATCGAAATTAATAAAAACTATTTTTCTTTATACCATATTTGTTTTTTTCCATACAACAACAGAATATAGGCGAGCAATCTATATTTGAATGATCCTAACAGATTTCTACTGACTTACAACAAAATAACTCCTGAGAAAATTTTTACGAGTTTATAAATTTATCTTCTCAATGCTTTATTGCCTTTGAAACTTCTAAAATAAGTCGGCGTCTACAAATGCAAATAGTCAGGTGCAAAAATCAATGTCGATTATGTTCTCGGATACATGAGACCTTTTGTCTAGGGCGTTAGATAAAAATTAGCATTAGCATTATTGATATTAGAATTACATAATGTTTAGGTATTCCCTTTAACCCTGTAGGGACGGAATTTTTTCAATGAAACATTGGTTATTGAATCAGTTTATTGTATTGGACTCAGAATATATTACCTAAAAACCTGATGATAATACATTAAGAAAAGAGAAGCTGATGACATGAAGTCAGTGCGTTGTAGCAGAAAGAAAGCAAAATATCTATGAAGGACATATGTCACAGAAAGAAAGAAAGAAAGAAAGAAAGTATATGCATGAGATGACAGATAGGACGACCTATTACCATATAGATTAAGGCACTTAAATAAAGAGCAAACATTTTTCTAGTGGAAAATAAGTGAAACAGAGTACCTTCCACAGATCCTCACAGGAGTAATTTAGCATTATTTTTAATCTTGAGACATCTATACCGTGAAACTTTTGCATTGCTATCTGTACATGTTACCTGCAAATTTTTCATGGGTTACCTGAGAATGTTACCAACATGCGAGGTGGCGCTACTAATACTCCGCCTGCTGTCTCTAGCGGTGGTGTGAGTATGGGGCGTGGGTTTGAGTCTTCAGTTAAACTACACCCACGTCTGCACTCATACAAGCACTCACTCACCCACACTCACACCAACAAAGAAAGAAAATTTGGAAGAAAGATGATCTTTGGCAATAGAACAAATCGGAGTACCCAAAAAGTGAAGCAGAATTATTAAGAGGATGTTTTTCCACTCATTTTTATCTCGAATGAACTTCCTTGACCACTTCTGCAATGCAACTTTCGAATAAGGAGCTCGTACGATAGGGAAAATGCGCTTAAAACACTACAGATTTAGTTAAAACTGATAGATAAAACAGTACACAAATTCAGCAATAGAGCATCAAAACAAAGAATGTCGTTTTCTCTTGTTTTCTTGAAACTTTGAACCTGAGTAACTATAGTCTAAGAGCGATGGGACTCAGATTGTACATTCACTATTTAGAAGTTAGATACACACAGTAGTAGATATCACGATTCATTTCAACCGAAAGATAAATATATTGAAACTGCTTATGTCCAAAGGTACGACCTAGTTTATATAATATCTCGAAAACGGTAAAGTCTTCTATATACTAAATTCAAAAGAAGACTGAAGTCGTTTTGTTAGCTTATTCTGAGGATAGTGTACAGCGTATTAAGTTTTAAATTCAAGTAAAAATTATTCTATTCTTTTAGCTACTACTGCGACAACACTTGGACCAGCTCCAAACCAAACACAGTGTCATGTACAATGTGCACTTTCGTCCATCAATCACGATCAAATGACCGCTCCAAATTATGGGAAATATTTGAATGGGATCTGTGTACTGACTGTGCATGCGTTATGCCGTCATTATTCTGAATAATACTTCAGATGTTCTCCTTCTAGTCATTCATATAGTTGAATCAATGCTTTCTTAAAAATATCTAAATATATTGAAATCATTTATCCAAAGTTCTTCCGTTCAAATTTTACGATCTATCGGTAAGTATCTGAATCAACTGTTGATTCACCTTATTCATGTTACACAATATTTTACAATGCATTTTCAACCATATCATGTTTCTTAAATGTAGGCAATAATTGAATAGAATGATTGTGATGACTATTTAGTTGGCATCTTTACAGATAATGTGTTCGTTATCCAACTGAATTATTCAAGTCATTTAAGATATTAGAACAGCATCGTTATACTTAACTCTATCCATTTCATACTATTCTACCGCTGACGTGATTCTATGACACATTTCACTTACGAGTAAGCGATATATCTGAATGAAACTCTAGTTGTAACAAGTCATTTCTTGCGAGACGTTTAGTGATGATGTCGAGTAACGCACTTCGTTTTGAAGTTTACGATATACTCGAAGGGAGTCCTGCTTATAACAATTCATTTGTTCATAGATCTTTACTAATGTGATCGATGACATAATTCGCTTCGGCACGAACGATATACTTCATTGAAATCATAGTTGAAAAGATTCATTTGCCTAGAGACCTTTACCAATTTGCCTCAGTGACACATTCCACTTCAAAATGATCGATATACTCTAATGAAATCATACTTGAGAAGATTCATTTATCAAGAGATCTTTGTCGAATTGATTGAGTGACACCCTCTGCTTCAAAATGAGCGATACACTTGAATGGAATCCTACTTAGAATATTTCATTTACTCTCTGAACCTGTGGTCATCTGATTTTCTGCAAACTTGTTTCAAAGTAAAGGCTATATTTCCACAAAATTTTTGTTAAAAGGAGCTATTAAACATGTGTATTCTCATGTATTAGTCTGAAGATTACTTAGTCTCGAATTAAGCGATGTACTAGAATGAAACCGTAATTAGAACGATTCATTTGTCAAAAGGTCTGTGCTGATTTGATCGAGTGACACACTGCACTATCAAGCAATTAATATACTTGCATAAAGTCATGCTTAAAACGATTCTTTTTTCAATACAGCTTTGCTGATCTGATCGACTTAAACACTCCGCTTAGAAGTAAGAGATATAGTTGAACAAAATTTTGCTCAAACTTATGCATTCGCCATGTATCTTTCATCAATGCGTCTCATATTTAGTATTTCAGTTCAAGAATGACATATCCGGGTGAATCCTTTGTTTGGACTATTCACCTGTTAGGCATCCTGAAACAGTCAGCTAAATCTGACTTGCATCTATTTTTTATCGATATAGTTGTATGAAGCCCTGGTTATACAAGTTTATCTGTCAATAGATCTATGTCGACATAATTGGATGATATGCTGAGCTTAGAAACAAACAATATACTTGAATTGAACTCTGGTTATAGCTATTTATCTGTCAAAAGATCTTTGATCATGGAATCGTGTAAGATAATTCATCTTGAATTGAGCAAAATTTTTAAATGGTACTTTTCTTAGAACAATTCATTTATCAATACAACATTACTGATTCAATCTAGCGACATGTTTCAGTGCAAAATGAGCAATATATTTGCATGAGGTTATAGTTAGAATGATTCATTTGTCAAGTGACCTGTAGTGATGTGAATTTAGGGGCACACTTCGCTTCAAAGTGAATGACATACTTGAATGAAATTTTAGTTATAAACATTTTTTTGTTAGTGTATCTTTGATGATGTGATTGAGTTACACATTTAGCTTTGAAGTGAGCGATATACTTGAACGGAATCATGGTTTTAATTATTCACTTGCCCTGAGATCTTTGCTCATGTGATCGAGTGACAGATTTTGCTGCGAAATGCGTGATATACTTGAATGAAATCATAATTGTAATGATTTCTTCGCCAAAAGATCTTCGCTGACATGATCAGGCCATAAACTTTTCTGCGAAGTGAGCGCTAACATGAATGAAACTATAGTTGTCATGATTCATTTGTCAAGAGATTTTTTTTAATGCACCCACGGGCATACTGCGCATCGCAGTGCACGATATACTTGTTGAAACCATCGTCAAAGTGGTTTATTTTCTGAGTGATCTCTGCTGAGAAGATGGGCTGACGTCATTTGTTTCGAAAGAGTAAAATATTTGAAGAAAACAGTTGTTGATTCTAATTACATACCTTACTTTATCGCATCATATTATCTAAATTGAAAATCCAATCTCAAATGAATACAATTGTTGCACAGACTGATTATCAAAAAACCATTCATATACCATGCACATTCTAATGGATAGCATACATTCAATGCCTATGTTGGAATAAGTTAAATACTTGAATACGCTCCTCCTTGAAGTTGTACACTTGGAATGTGATAGTTGACCATCGAGAATTATGAAATTGTTTCAACAATATACAACAAAAGGTGAATTTTTTAATTATTAGAGTTATTCAGTATCCATTTTATCGTCAATCATGTGGTTTAGTCTCAGATTTCATTTGAAACCGAATAACGTTGTCAAAAAGGATACTTCAACCGATGGAAGCGAGTCTATTTCATTTCTATGTTCTTCTCATCATGTCATAAGTTGTTAGTTTTCTAGAAAAAGTCAATAAAATTACCTGAATCTGATCGTTGTCTTGTTAATCCATTATCTCAAACATCATATTTCATGCAAGCTCGGCTAACTCTTGATTTCATTACGAGCTTTATTCGAACGGAACATTGCTTCAA